TCAATATGCTCAGAAGAGAAGAATGCTACAAATTGCACTAGAGCATTTTTTAAAAGGCTTTTTTCAACATTTAAGCACCTAACAGGGAGATTTTTATCTATGTAAACAAGTCAAAGGCAAAGACAAAAACTCTATAAATAGTTCTTATAAATGGATGACTGAATCAGCTCTTTGAGATAAAGAAAAAAAGCTATTTTTTAACATGTGAAAGTTATAAGATATTCTGGGTAAGCATGATTATCAGAGAATACCACAAATAGCTTTGGATGTTGTCTATCATCTACGACAGAGTCATAAAGATCTGTGGTATCATCAGGGTTCTTTGATGGAGGAGTAATTATTCCTGCATGTCCACGTGTGTAGACTCCTGTAAGTACTCGCACAACATAAATATGCTTTCTTCCACTGCTGTCTGGTCTGGAGTATTTATCATTAGCAGAATAACTGGCATCAACAGCAAAATAGGTTCCGTTTCCATAGACTGCAGCTGTAAAGAGAAAGATGAGAGCCTTCCTAACAACATAAAATTATCACAGTACGTAGAACCATGCCCCAAGACAACAAAAATTTCTAGAAATGAAGTTCTTGCCCACCAAAGCCACTTTTCATCATTTCTAAAATTCACTCCCCCTGTCCTCAGAAGGTTGCCAGTCTCCTTTCAGTGGAACACAGTGAGTTCCATCCTGACGATCACAATATGGCTGCCATCTATGGTTCTACACTGCTTGGGTATGAATAGTCAACACCAGAACTACTGTTCACCTCGTTCTGATCAGCCAGATTACTCGCTTCCTTACCATTCATCCCAGCATAACTGCGATTAAAGCCATGCTGATTGATATGTGGCACTGTGTCTGCATCTGTCCCATGGAAGAGGAGTCTCTCATTATCTTTATGGCCATTCTTGGTGTCCATGTGGTTTTTCTTTATCTGGTAGCTTTGCCAGAGAAATATGTTCTGTATCCTCTCAATCTATGAATGACAAAAGGCAAAATATTTTGGAAATGACCTTAGAGCTCAGTATATTGTGGGGGTTATTGTGTAGATTTTAAAAGAAGCAATATGGAGAGGGAGGAGAAGAAGGAGGAGGAAATGGTTAAGGGGGTAGGAGAGGTGAAGGAAAAGGAGAGTTAATGCAAATAAACAGCAAATCCAGAGAGTAGGTACCCTTCTGCCTTTAGAAAAAGGATAGGCTAAAAGTATCCTTCACTATCTATACCTTGTAATAGTGCTTATTACTGTCTATTTTACATAAGAGAACTTATAATTTATATGAAAATGTTTACCTATATATATTCCATGGAATTCCTGGAGATTCACTGACATTCAAATTCCTACTCAAATCTTTGTGATAATTCAATAATTATTTCATTAATTCCTTCTGATCTCTAAACCCATTGCATGTGTCTTCTTCCCAGTAATGTTTTTTTCTTCATTGCTCCAATTATGGTCATTAATCACCTTACAATTGCCTAATCTAATGACTATTTCTTTCTAGACCCTCAAAAGCATTTCAAACCATGAACCATCCCCTCCTTAAAACTTTGTCTTTCTTTAACGTTTTTCAAAATATCATTCTCTGTTGGTTCTTCTTCCTTCTAGGAAATGAATTTAACATACATTCAGTAATCATCTA